TGTGTGTGTGTGTGTGTGTGTGTGTGTGTGTATACATATCAGTACTCTTAGTATGTCAGGCCATAATTTTCCTGTGGCTCCAAAGTTATTATTCACATTGGCATTAGGTGATTGCCTTAAAAAATGTGTTCCCAGAATGGTATGCCATCTACATTTTAGGGAACCCACAGCAGCCAAACGAGTGCCTTTGAGATGATTGGGAATGCTAACAGATGTTTTTTTTTTCAGTTAATATAAACCAACTTTTGTCTTGGGAACTCTCACAGCTCATCCATTAAGATTCAAGTGCCCCTTCTTCAACACCACACCATTAGCAGCAGCATTATTAATGTTACTAAAATAGCCATTATTACAGTGATTTACTTTGAAACTCAAAACAATCAACGCTGTGGTTGAGAAACACTCTCCATGTCACCTCTCTCTTTAATGAGACACCGTAGCTTGTTTGTCTTTCACAGGTTTTGACAGTTCTGGGGGCAATCATGGAAACCTTTGAGATGGATTAAAAAAATACTGTTGCAAAAATCTTGCCTGTCTTCTTACATACAAATATATTTTACTACAAGTATCACAAGTGTCATTCAAACATATTACCATTATTATTTTCAGTATATATTAATATTATTTATTCTCTCTCTTATTGTGGATATTTTATTGTATATTGTAAACCTTTAATTAGTCATTTTTATTTTATAGCTTTAGCAATGTAAGTCTAGTACATTTTATTTTAATTATTTTTTTTTTTTTTTTGACAGTCAAGTGTAGACAGGGAAGCATGAGTGAGAGAGGGGAAATTAAATTAGGGCATGATCCAGGTCAGGCTTGAACTTTGGTTCCCATAAGCCAGCAGCTCATTTTATGATGTTAAAGTTGCTTGCATTGCAGTTTTGACCATAATTTTCAAAAGGCAGGTGGGGTGGTGTAATGTTTGAGGCTCAGAGCTGTTAACCGAAAATTTGCTGGTTCAGTTCCGTGCAAGGAGCTAACCATGAGCCGTCAGATGATTGCAGGGATTGAAGATACGCTAAAACATATTAAAACTGCTTAACGCACATAATTTATTTGCTAAATGGTGGGAAGAATTTCAAAAACCGTAATCCTCAATGCAGCTCAGCAGTGCAATGTACTCTACGGCTGGGATTCGTATGCCACTAATCTTTAAGCTGCCCTGTTTCAGTTATTAATGAGAGCTCAAACTAGCTCACAGAGCGGAGAAAGCCGAAGCAGGGATGATTGTACCTCTGTAATTTATGAACAGGAAACATTAAAGATTCATGACTATCTTTTTTTCAGCATGTCAGCACACTCTAGCCAACAGTGTTCATCACTGGCAGAGGGAAGGCGTAGCGAACGCATACAACAGACCTTGCGCTCTGTTCTCAGAGCGGTGCGGTGCGTTTTTCTGTCCTTGAGAATGCAGCGGGGAAGAGTGGCAAAGGAGTTCATCAATAACCTCAACGCAGACCTTCATTTTTCCAACAGAGAAGGTTCTTAAAGTTCCATCAGTCTCTCTCGTTCTCTCCATCGCTCACTGCGGCGAGTTGATGAGTTGAGGGAGATGTTTCATCTTCACCGTAATACCCGTCACTCTGTCACTTATGCTCCTTATGTAGCGGATGAGAATAACATAAACTCCCCTTATGATGGGAGGACATATTGGTTACTTTCTCATGGAAATGTGCTCTCAGCCAAGGTGAAGGGACTGATATGATGCTGTTCTGACATAAGTTTCAGTACAACGGCTGAAGGACACATAAACTTTAAAGCAATCTCTGAAAGGTGATTCAGGTATGATTATGAGTTTGAATCATTACACCAATGATAATGTTGCATTTCCATAGAAGTGTAGTTTTAATAAGCACCCTTTAAAAGAGACCCCAAAATGAAATCCTCATGTCATTCCAAAACTGTACGACTTAATGAACATATAAGATATTTTGAAGAATGGCGGGGTCCAAATCTTCTTTAATTTTCAAAAAGAAAACCATGCAGGTTTGGGACAACATGAGAGACTTGGCAGATGGACAGATTGACAGATTTCCCATTTTTGGGTGAACTCTCGCTTTAGGACCATGACATTTTAAATATTGGTGTAAAAAATATTGAATAGTGAACGATTCAATGACTTGCTTGTTTCAGTTCTGAGTGAATCAATATTTCTGAATGAATTGAGTGAAATATTTAGTGACTCACTAATAGACAGTAATTTGCAGACTTTTTAATAATGCAGTAATATACTTTACAAATAGAAGGTAATTCTATTAATGCGATTATTATTTTAATTGATACATTAACAGATGTAAACCAAAAGCTTATTTTAGTTAAAATAATTTTATCAAACAAAGAAAAAAAGAGCACAGAGAGACATTAATACTGTCTCCTACACCGGTTGCCATGGGTGATGGTCAATTATATAGTTAAGTAGTCATTATGGAAAATATTTGACCAGAGAATGTCACAACTGACCAATCAGAATAAAGTATTCCAGATAAAATGTACCTCACTTGCATCGAAAACTAATAATATAAAACAAATTGCTCTGATTATGAAATACTGAACCACCTTTAAAGGTGTGCGATATATGTGTGCATAGATTAGTTTGCACCATCTTTGAGTGCGAGTATCAAATGCAGCCAGGTTATGATGATGTGTCGCATTATGTGGCCATGAATGATGTCAGAGCGATTCAAACAAATTACTTTATTCCGTCCGTTCTATTCCACCTTTGTACACTCTGTCATCCTGACAGCCTTTGGGCTCCAGCAGCTCTGAATCCAGCCTCTCACATTCCCCCATCACTCCACCGCAGCTACGCCTGACCAAAGACATGCAGCAAGGACAGAACACACTGTGCTTCCAATGCAAATGGAAAGTTTGTGACCGCACCCCAACGGTTTCCCGCCCAACAAACAATGACATACGAGTAGGACACAATAAATAGCTTGTCAAGGGTATCTCTCTGTCTGTGGAGTGCATGCTTAGCGGGTTGGAATTTGGAGAACAGGAGCAAAAGAGATAGTAATAGATGGAAATAGAAGCATAAAAAACGACTGGATTGACAAAAAGAGCCTTCTTAGTGGTACTTTTCCAACCTTGACAAACTATGTAGTCACTGTAGCTGCTGTTTTCCAGTTGGTACGCGGTGACATTCTTTTTTGCCCTTCCTCTTTCTCCCTCCTTCTCCTCGTTCTGCCTTGTAATGCAGCTCAGATAGGTTCACTGTTGTAATGAGTTCAGATGCATGCTGGGATCTGTGTGGCGGCATGCTGTTGCCGTGTCCTCAGCTTCAAGTCAGCTGAAAGGCTGCTTATGTGAAGCATAAAAAAGGTATCTAAAACCTTGCTGTACAAACAGAAATATCAGAATCTTTTCCCCCTCTGTTTACTATAAAGCATTGTAAGGCTATTAATACCGCAGTTGCTCTGATAATAAAATTCATCTCTGTGTTTGATGGCGTTCTTTTGCTCATGACAGCAGGACGGTGAAAGTAATTCCCTCAATAAAGGGAGATTTTGGAGAGAAACAGTGGTGTGTATCTGCTAATGACATCAAAACAACAGGAGCCTTTAATAATTCATTTCAAGAACAGATTTTTTGAACTATGAAATGCTATTAAGACTGATCCATGGGGATTTATGAAAATTTTTCAGTTTTGCAGGGAAATAACCTGAAAAATGTCACCCATCAGTCTTGATATATATCAGGCTGAAAAGTACTCGAGACACTCTTCCTCACATTAATAGCTCAGGCTGTCCCCAGAGATGGTGGTGTGATGTATCCATTTCACAAATGGAATCTTCTGTCCGGGCAGATCAAGATGGGCCATTTAGATTATAATGTGGTTTGCTAATGTACTGTAATTTTTTTCTCTGCATTTGACCATTTATATTTCACTACTGTACTGCAATCAGCTCAAAATGCATTTTATATTTGAGATACCAAAACTTTGAAAATGACTGATTTGTTGAGAACAAGGTGGTCTGTAATGGTTTGGGAAAGATATCCGTTAGCATTCACATTCTCAATGGCAGTTGCTTGACTAGCACACAACTTCCTGGAACTTGTTCAGCTACACTGCGAAAAAAGTTAAATGTCTGAAGGTTCTTCAAATAAGATACATTTACTTTAGAAGCAGCATTGCATAAAAACTTGTTTTCAGAAAAGGTATCTTAATACTATTTTCCCCCATCTGTTATAAACAAGTTAACATTTAAATGTATTGACTTAGCAGACAAAATACACAATTTAAAAGACAAAATACATTTATATTCAAGATACAACCAATGAAAACAATTATTTTCTAGACTTGTGCAGTGTTGCTTCTCAAGTACATTTATCTTGTTTTGATTTTTAGATAATTTTTCTGAAAAGCCAATCATTTCATTGTAACATCTTAAGAAGTTTCTCTCTCTCTCGAGCTGTGATGTCAAAAGTATCAAAATAATATTTTAATATTTTTTTAATGTATAAGATGCTATACCATTCAAAAAGTTGGGCTCAGTATATATTTTTTCTTTTCTCCCTCTTAGTGTTACAAAGGTTTTCTGTTTTAAATAAATACTCTTGAACCTTCCTGAAAATCCTGGAAAAAAATATTTATCAGAGGATTGTGAAAAATGCAGTTCCAGATGATGCCGTTTCAGGATCCACCAGAAGGACCTAGCTTGAGCATGCTAATTAGCTAAGCCTTGACCTATTGGTTTGCGGGAAGCATTTTGAGCCAGTTCATCAAAAGACGTTATAGGGCCATTTACTCGTGCCATATGGCCGTCTAGGGCCAGTGGGATCTTGCACGGGCCATTGCCACCATGCTAATATATTCCTTTCACCCTGCTGTCAATGCTGAGTGACAAATATAATTTGTGCTGTCATCTAATTGCCCTTAGGGACTCTAATTGCAACAGTGTTGACAAAGAAAAGAGAATAGAACAAAATGGCGAGGAAGAAAGAACAGATCAGAGAGGGTAACATGAGAGACGCTGATTAGCTTGGTTATTGAATTGAGATGCTAATAAACTTCAGTAGTCACATGGAAGCCTGAAACCCACGGAAAAACACATTTGCTGCATTTATACACCTTAGATGGGATGAGATCTGAGGCTCGGATTGCATGTTCTGCATTTTTATATCCATTTTATCTGGAATACTTTATTCTGATTGGTCAGTTGTGACATTCTCTGGTCAAATATTTTCCATAATGACTACTTAACTATATAATTGACCATTACCCATGGCAACCGGTGTAGGAGACAGTATTAATGTCTCTCTGTGCTCTTTTTTTCTTTGTTTGATAAAATTATTTTAACTAAAATCAATATTTCATTTCTATGCATTCACTTATTTGGTGTGTGTGGCAGCATAATAAGCCAGATAATGTACAGTCAGGCGGTCATTATCGCAAAATAAACCCCATCAGCATGACATAAAAAAGTGATATTTTGCAATAATGACTGGCTGACTGTACACTCTCCCATATTTTTTAATGTCACTTTTTTTCTCTTTAAGGCTCAGTCTCCACTCAACTCAATTTAAGAGCCGCAGAAGGAAAGCTTGCGACAATATTTGCTCAGTTTAAGTATCTGAAATAGGACATGGCTTTAAATTAAGCTTCTATCTAAATAAGGGAAGCAATGGCAAACCACAGAACTGCTGTAATGACCACTTTTAATGACTTTGGTAAGAGCACAACGTGGCTTGTTTGTATCGATGTGCTTGCCAGAGTTTTATATTAGCGCTATCAGGTGTCTGCATAGTTCAGTAACCCTCATGTATCTAATAGGATATATTGTGGCTGTTTTTCTATCCATTCATATAACATTATATGGATGTGTGCGGTGTAAGAGTTGGTAGTGTCCTTCATGAAGGGATTTACATTGATTTTATGAAGTATTCATAACATTATGGGACTAATGTGGTGTATAATAGCATAGTGGTTAAAGAACTAGAATGGCAACTGAAAGGTTGTAGGTTAAAACCCTCCTAGGGGTGATTTATGATCCATCACCATTGTCCCCTCAAGCAAAACACTTAGCCCAGTGGATGTTTCTGTAATAAGTGTACTGGAAGTCCCTTTGGATAAAATGGTCAGTTAAATGTCAAATTACCTCTGAATATGTTATATTTGGTATTAAAGTAGAGTGGCACATACCTCAACACTTGTATTTCTTACATTTGAACTATTTTCACATTTTTGTCCTTGTTTAGGAGATCCTGGGTCTATCAGACATGATGTCATACCGATCCAAAAGATCCCTGCTGGTGCCCCCCATGTTTGTCCCAGAGAACCAGAGAGCCCCCTTCCCCAGGTTAATTGGAAAGGTAAGACCTTCCATTTGTAATGCTCTTTGACATTAACTTAGTCCTACTAATGTGCATTGCCACCATGGTCTTGGTCAACCATATTTTGTGTGTGGACATAAGTGTGACAGTGCTACCTGATGGTTTAAATAAGTTAAAAAAGTTATTTGGTTTTCAAGCTTACTTCACTCTGGTTCCAAAAAGTCAGATGAATTAGCCGAAAAATTATGCATGGAATGACACATTTTCATAGGCCAACCCAGAAGTTAGCATCACCTTGGTCCCTCGGGAAAAAAATCCAAAAGGATTTTTCCATTAGCTTTTGGATCATTGCAGAACATAAGCTCTGTGACAAACAAAAGTTTATGATTCTTATACATTTTATTCATCAAGGTAATATTCATAAATGATCATCACTTTATGAATTAAAAAATGAAGTAAAAAGCAAAAGTTGTCAGTGCTGATCCTTGTGGGCAGCTCGCCGACATATAGCAGCATTGCGCTACAGGCGTCTCGAGTTCCAGCTCCAATTCCAGCTCGTGGACCTTTCCTGATCCCAACCCCCTCTCTCCCACGTCTCTTCCTGTCATTAGACTGTCCTATCTAAATAAAGGCTTAAATGCCAAAAATCAAGGTTTTTTTTTAAAAAGCAAATGTTCGGCTACAAATGAACTACACAAAGGTCAAATGACTTCAACTTCAGCATTAAGCTTCTGAAAAGTCTTTCTTGATTTATAATCAACAAGCTGGAAAGTTTGAGTTAGAATGGTTTGTAAGAGTGCAAGTGTAAATACAACGAGGATATAAAAGCGGACTAGTGAGTAGATGAGTTTACCTGTTCGGTGTGATGATGTTTAGTGTCCCGGCAACCTCTGTAATTCCATTTAGCCATTTGCTACCAACCACTAGGGATGTAATGGTATGAACATTTCTTATCACGATTATAGTGACCAAAATTATCACGGTTTATCAGTATTATCACTGTATTGTTAAAATGTGCTGGAAATTTTCAAAAAGTACTGACACATAAATCACTTCAAGTTTTATATTTAAAATCAACAAACAAAATTATTTTTGTTTGCATAATCATTAAAACAATAACATTACCAATGTTTAACATGGCATGTTCAAATATCTAATGTAAATGTTCAAATAACTTTGAAAAAGTTTCATAAAAAGGTCAACCTCACATTTCAGTCTTTAAATAAAGAAAAGGCTTAAGTCAAAATGATAATGGATTAATTAATGATTATATGTATTTTATCTGCTCCATAAATAATTCTAGATAACTTATCTGAATTGTTTAAATGTGAAGAATCCATTATTTTGTTTTTCATCAACTGGTCAACATTTAGGCTACAATAGGGCATGCAAATGTGGTCCGTTTTTTGGCAAGACAAAAACTGCACACAAGATGAATGTAAATGTAAGTCTCTGTAAATCTACTCTATAACAGCATGTGGCGCTTATGGAAATGGTGAATTAGAGCTGTTTCCCGTGAACTCCGTAGAGAAAGCAGCATTGCAATTAAGAACACTTCTTTAGGTATTACATGGAGCGAAGATGAAAACAAAATGCCATTGAATCTTTTCTGAAGACAGTCAGAACCTTCAGAGATACATTCATATAATTAATTAATTCATATATTTATTTGTATAATTCCCGATTTATGTTTATGCTGGTGGGTGCCCAACCCCCAATTGCGAAGTGAATCACACGAACTGCAAATACATTAGTTACCAAATAATACACACATTCTTTGTATTAGGGTTGCGCTTCACTAAATAAAATGATTTAATAAATACCTGTTTACAATAAACACTTATTCGCGTGTACACAGGACAAAGTTTGAGGGCGCACACGTAATCTGATCAGCGCAGAGCCATGATCAATATATATATATATATATATATATATATATATATATATATATATATATATATATATATATGGGATTCGTGCTGGCACCCTCTCATATTACAATAATGCACTCTTGACATTTGCCATTAAAATAACAACAAAAACAGCTTCAAATGAACTATGAAAACGAGAATAAAGTTGTAAAAGCTGCAATCAATTTCTTACTGGTTAAAATGAACGGAGACTATCTCGTGTTTTTCCGTGGGTGCTCAGGGATCGGCGCCTATGCCCTTGGCACTCTTTTAAAACCTCCCAGCTTTTCTGCCGTCTTTTCACACAAAACTAAACTACTCTGCGTGATGTGCGCACATGAGACTGCTACTTAAAACTGTGCTTTATGCTACAATATTTATTTATCATAAGTTGTTCAAATCGCGGTAATCGAATACGGTTATAATGATAATTAAAATATGAAACGGTAATACTAACCGTGGGGAATTTTATCATGATTTATCGTCAAACCGGTAATCGTTACATCCCTACCAACCACCTTTTTGAGACACATAAGAAGCTTAAAAAACATAATGAGTGTGGTATTACTGAAATGTTGTAGAATAAAATGTGACAATATCTTGAGCTTGTGTTAACCACAGACCTAATTTCAGGCATTTAATGAAAAAAAAAATGGATGTTGGAAGGATGGAACCAAAAGTGCAAAAATACTTGTTTCTGGGTTTTAGGACTCATTCTGGCAGGACTTTATTAGTGCAGAAATATGGAAAAATTAAAACTTTACTGCTGAGAATACAGATCCTTGCTTCCCTAGCCAGTAATTTGAAATGATTTCTTTTAAATTAAGTTACTTAAAGAGTAACCTTTGGTCTGATTTGCATTAAATTGCTGTACCAGTTTGCACCAGTGTTGCAAGGCCGTTCCTTCATTTGTAGTCGTTGAGCAGAGTCAAGAAACTAGATGAAGATGCGTTGAAAGTAATTCTACTGAACTTGATTATTCTTCTCGAACATGTATAATATTCTATGAAAACTATTCTATTTCTAATGAAAATGCATGGAATTTGTTGAATTGTTTGTCATCGTTTCAGTTGAGATTCATGTATTCCACTTTCTTTGCTTGGCAGCTTTTCTTGTCTTTGTTTTATCAGGTCTCTAGTTTTTCAAGGAACTCTGAGACCAACGATGGGGCAGAAAAGAAAGCAAGCATGCAGGAAAATTGTAGGAAAAGACAACACAAACCAGGCTTTGCACATCATGCTTCATTTGCAAGCTTGAGATATGGGAGTTTTACCCTAGTTGTGCCCCTGCCCATTTTTTATCACCATCCAAGCCTGTATATATGGATGTCCCAGGGGAGATACTGTAGATTTTTGCAGAATATCTCTGTTTGAGCTTTGAGGTGATGCCATCGGTTCAGCCCTGGTTTTTAATACAATAGTCGAGTGCTGTTTTACCATTCAGAGAGAAAGATAAAAGAAAATGGAAAAAAACATTTGGAGAAAAATAATTTGTTTTAGAGATATGTGTTTGAAACTAAGAGGTGGAATCAAATGTTTTCAGTACTTCCTGTTTGCTTGCTTTCTGTGGCTGTGTCTCAGCGTGGGCTTGCTTGACGAAATAAAAGTGCTAGATTACTGTGGCACAGTGAATAAACCACAGTTCGTGCCATTTTTTTGTGGTCTTTATTCTAGTGTTGAATGCAAGTGCTGCATTATATTGCAATTTTTCCCACCGACAGAATAACCCCTCTATACTGCACATAGATTACTATACTTCAGCAAGTGGCAGAAAACACAGCAAGGTCCATTGAGAGTCTGATGAGGCTGGCCTTTCTTCAGTCTCTTTCTATATACATCTACATATGTCTGCGCCTTCTCAGTCTATAGTACCTCTTTTGCAGCATTTTCACTATGGTGAAACCACACAAGGGGAATGGCTACTGTGACCTATTCATTTGATAGCGCTGCTGTTTATTGGAAACCGGGCAAAATGGATTTTCCGCATGGATAAATCTTGTTTCCTTGTGCTGTTTACCTACCATACGGCGTACATTCATTTTTCATAGTTTCCACTGCACGGCAAGGCTGAAGAAAATTGGGAATTGCCCACTAGGATGATGGAAGCTTGAAGAGAAATAGAGGGGTTTCCCAGATGTTTTCTCTCTGGGAAAAGCAGTAAGCATGTTGGGTGTCTGGGAAAGCCTTGTTTCTTTTTCTTGCTTCTTTGCATCATTCTAGTGGGGCATTGTTTATTTTTATTATTGTCATATGAAGACAAATCTCGCTACCGCTGATTATTTACTCGCATTTTTGGAACAGGCACTAACTGAATAAGAGACACTGTGATAGATTTGCCATCACAATCCTTCAAGGCACGTTAGATTATACAATTTAGTGTACAGTCTCTTTGGTTTTATACTGACACCTACTGGTGTGAATGTATGAAAGTAAAATTTTAAACATATTTCCCAAAAGTACTGTCCATGTATTTATATATAAATTATTTGAGGAAAAATCTTCCTCTTATCTTTTTATTATATTTTATAGTGCCAGAGATACATTGATCCCTGTAAGAAAAAATTGTAATACGATTGTTTAGAGGGATTTTGAAATTAATCTTGGTGAACCACTCTGTCCAACACTGTTCTGTGTTTCCACATGCTAAATCATACAACGGGCAAGTGGTTTTACGCCGGCCCTTTCTGTAAAGATGAGTTCTATTGGATGGTGTTGACTTAAGATCCACTCTCGGTTAAGGGGGCTTGAAGTATTGGAAAAGTATTAAAGAACAGATTTGCCCTGATTCCTGTTCTGGCTTTGACATCAGTCTTCTGTGGGATTATAGGTGATTTATTATGGTGGAGTGTTCACCTGTAGCACTGCAATCTCACAAATGGGAAAAAGTCCAGAGGTTCCCTCTAGGACCTGCTAGTAATTGTCTCTGGACCGTTTTTTATGGGCAGTGCTGGTGTCTCTCTGTTCTATTATGTCCAGGACAAACCCTCCCCACAGCAGTTGAATTGCTCAGTTTCTGTGTATTTTTTTGGCACCCGGAGCTGAAACACTGGCCATATTTTGTTGCTTCACAGTTACACCCATTCTCACTCTCTGCACTTTTAATTGGAATAATTGTGTCTCGCACTAAAGT